TATTTCTAGAGTCCTCTCAGAATGAGCTTTGTATGGAATATTCTTTTGTCTTCTGGATGGAGGTAGGAAAATGGGGAGGAACTCATAGAGGGAGGCTTTTTATGTTAGTGTTTGTCACATTTCCTTTCTGTGAGAATGAGACTGTACTAGTAGCGTGGACCAAGGGAGAAGCGAATCCTGCTTGGAGCAAGAAGGAGATAGGAGTGGACAAAGATCAGAGAAATGCCAGCCAAAGAAAAGAACAGAGCTAATAACCCCGGAATTATTTCACACCCTCCAGAGCTCTGCCATTATGTAAGGCTGACTGCCTTGGCCCATACCCACCCTCACATGGGATGGAGCCCTTGCTTGAGGCCTGCGGCTACTTGGCCACAACCCTTGGTCAGGAAAGACAACTAGGATGGGTGGAAAGTGAGGAGGTGATTGGAGGTGATAGAAAATGAGGAACTCAGATGCGATTATAAGAAGGGGAACTTACAAACTAAATTAGAACTGCAATTCAATGCTCTCCAGAAATGCTGTTACACATTGAGGTGTAGATACCCTTACTTATTCTGGATGCATTGCTATGTTCACAGGCTAAGATGCTCACTGGTGGCATGTAAAACCTCATTTCTAATAAACAGCAAATGCCATCCCAGGTCAATTTGGTGATGTACATACATGTGAATAATTACAGTGTAACTGGGGAATAGCGTATAGACTAACCGTAGGTATTTGTTGCAAAACATTAGGATAACGCCTTGTGTCTGACTCTGACATTATTTGTCCTTTAGTCCCGATCCAAATGCCCTGGCGGGAGTCATCGTTGAGAGAAGCCCCAGTGACAGGTGAGTTATTAAAGTTGTACACATGGCCAGGTGCAGTGATTCGCACCTGTAATCTGAGCACTGGGAGGCCGAGGCAGGCAGATACCCTGAGGTCAGGAGTTCAAGACCAGGCTGGCAAACATGGTAAAACCCCGTCTCTACTAAAAGTACAACAACTACACTGGTGTGGTGGCAGGTGCTTCTAATCCCAGCTACTCGGGAGGCTGAGGCAGGAGAATGACTTGAACCTGGAGAGGTGCAGGTTGCAGTGAGCTGAGACCATACCACTGCATTCCACCCTGGGCAGCAGGAGCGAAACTTTGTCACAAACGCACACACACACATACACACAAACACACACACAAAAAAAACCAGTGACAGAGAAAGGGACTGAGATTAGTGGGATTCACTCTCAGAAGTGTTCACAATAACACAGAGTGTCTCTGAAACAGTTTCTGTATCATCTCACTGTATCATGTTTAGATAACTTCCACGTTTTTACAGTTGTTCAGAAAAAAAGAAACAGACTATAGAGAGAGGCTTCTGTCTGTTACTATCTTTTCACCATTTGTTAGTAGCAGTGAAATGCCTTGGACACTCTGATTTTCTGTGTGTGAGACATAGCAGAGTGGGCCGAGGGAAGAGAGAATCCTGTTTGGAGCGAGGAGGAGGTAGGAGTGCACGGGGAACGGTGAAGCCCTCAGCAGGAAGCAACAGAGCTAAGGCCTTGGAGGTGTTCTCCACCCTCCAGAACTCTGCCACCACGGAGGCTGGAGCTCCAAACCTCAAATCAC